GTGTGTGTGTGTGTGAGAGAGAGAGAGAGAGAGAGAGTGTGTGTATGCGTGTTGGAAGTGTATGCTGTGTGTGTGAGAGTAATGATAAGGACCAGAAGAAGGGTTAGATCTGCGCCTTTCCAAGCTAGATTTGCAGGCCACCCCATGTCAAATTCAAGTCTTCTGGAAGAGCAGCTGGTGGTCTTAACCATGGGGCCATCTCTCAGCCCCCAGATTTTGATGTGCAGCACATGGGTGTGTTTACCCAACTGCGTGGGAAGAAAAAGACCTTTGTACAAAAAAAGCACTAGGTGGCGCTTCAAATCAACAGTTCAATTCCACGCATGGCTGGTTAGTCTGCGTGAGAGACCCAACCTAGAACAGAAAAGGAAGTTTACAGGCCCCTGCCCATCATTACAGAACTTGGGAGGCTGGGGCAAGGGATCCGCTAGTGTGAGCCATCCAGGGCTAGCGGCAAGACCTTGTCTCACAGAAAACAGTCACCCAAACTAAAACAACAAAACAGAGTAAAGAAAATGGCAACACAGCCCTATTGTCTGGCCCCATGGGTCCTTGTTGTTTTTAACATTTTTTTAGTCATATGTATTCATGTAGGTCTGTGTAGGGTTATGTGCCTGTGAGTGAAGGTGACCTTGAAGGCCAGGGAATCCCTGGAGTTACAGGCTGTTGTATGTCACCAGAAGTGGCTCTGCAAGACCAGTGTGCTGTGCCTTCTTAATTGTTGAGCCATCTCTCCAGTTCTTGTTTTGTGTTTTTGAGACAGGGTTTTGCTATGTATCCTGGGCTAGTCTGGAACTTTCAATCTTCCCTCCTTGGTCTCCTGACCACTGGGATTACAGACCTGTGCTGCCGTGCCCACATAGATTCAGAATCAAAACCAAGAAGCCTGTGTGTCTGCCAGAACCACTTGGCTTTAAGTCTCAGTACTGGCCCAGGAATGAAAGGGACAGCAAAGCTGGGCATTGGTGGCACACGCCTTTAATCCCAGCACTCGGGAGGCAGAGGCAGGCGGATCGCTGTGAGTTTGAGGCCAGTCTCGTCTCCAGAGCGAGTGCCAGGATAGGCTCCAAAGCTATACAGAGAAATCCTGTCTTGAAGGAAAAAAAAAAATCCTGAACCACAGCTTATTTAAGATAAAGCCCCTGACTGTTTTTTTTTATATAAAAAAACCAAAAAACAATAAAATAAAATAAAATAAAATCCCAAAGTCAGACTGGACAGGCAGGTGACTGGGTTATCCTGGATCATTGAAGTACCCGGCCCATCCATGAGGAAATGATTCTCTTGCCCGGAGTTCTTGGCAGTGACGGTATCCTACCCAGAGTGTTCTTGGCATTTTGGGTGAGCCACTCCTGGTGGCAGGGCTATCTTTGTCTAGGGATACTGCCAGCATCCAAGGATTGGGGTAGCAACCATGGAACTCACTGACTATCCCGAGCCCCTGAGCTGTCCCCTCACCCTCTTCACTGTGACTTACCCGGTGGCCTTGTGCTGTATTGTCCTGTGTGCTGTAGGAGACCTGGGATTTGCCGTTATCCAGGATGTGCCGGATGACAGGGATGCGGACCACCTGCTCTCCACGGCTCACGGAGTACTCAGGCTGCTCAAAGGACACAACCCCGCTGGCTGCAAAGAACGGTGGGGCTGGTCAGGAGGTCTTGGTCTCCGTTCCATCTCAACACCTTCCCTCCCTCCTACCCAGCCCAGACTCCAGAGGAATGAGAAGGAAATTTCTTCAGCAGTTAAGGGGTTAAAATAAAGTCCAGCAGGCAGCCTGGAACATTAGTTAGGGGCAGGGCACAAAGACAAAGCCCTAAGAGTCAGGGCTGAGCATCCTGGTGCCCAGAGGAGGGGTCAGGGAACCTCTGGGAGCCAGGAGGACGGTCATCAGCATTTCAGATACCCATCGTCTCACTAGGGGGAGGAGAGCCGGAGGTGGACATTGGCATTTCCCTGGCATGTGCCTCCATTCCCAACACCACAGAGAAGAAGGAGGGGGAGCAGAGGGTGCTGCACAGGAGGCACCACTGTGGCCTCCTTGCTGAGGTCTGTGCCCATCTTACATAAGGAGACCTCAAGTTCTCAGAGAGGAAGTGATTGACCCAGCTCTGTGGGCCACCCCACTCCCACTTGGGTGTCAGGATCAAGGAACCCAGACCCGCCTTCCTTCCTGCCTTCTTAGCCCCTGCCCCTGCCCAACCTTGCTCCTTGATGATGGTGATGTTGACCAGGCGGCGACCAAGGGTGGCGGTGCCCACAGGGACGTCGAGAGCCTCCACCAGCAGCTGCTTCTCATCATCATCCTCAGGCCGGATGAAAAGGGGCACCCGAACATCCACCAGCTCCACACCTTCCTGGAACTCCACCATGCCCCGGGCGTCTAGGGTACGAGTCAGACATGGGTCTCGGGGCCACGTGGGTGGGAGGGAGGAGGAGCATCGTGGGGAGTCTGTCTCCTTACCCTGCTCTGCAGTGAGGGTGTAGTACCCAGGGGCCACCTTGAGTTCATGGAAGGACCCCTGCTCCACTTGCTTCTCTGTCAGCTTCAGCAGCGTCTGCTTGGCTGAGCGGGGCGCCAGCAGCACCGTGTCCACGATGGTGTGGTCTTGCCTGGGTTGGGGTGGGGGTGTCCAAGTGGAGGAGGCAGGACAAGATGTGAGCCAGCGGAAGGTGCATGGTCTTTAGCGCTAGGCACTGCCAGAAACCCGCTGGCTCCACACCTCCACCCTGCAACCAGACCACTGCTACTCCTGGGAGGAAGCGGCTTCCCCACCCACCTCACCAGGCAGGGCTGGTGAGACAAGGGTTGGATGTGGACAGCAAAGAGGCCCTGGCCAGGCAGCCTGGGTCTGGTCCTTGACTGCTAGGTAACCTCAGGCCAGGGGTGTAACGTCTGTGAGTCCCAGTTTTCTCATTGGAAAATGGGGTTAGCAAGGTTGATCTCTTGCAGGGTTACTGAGAGGGTTGGCTGAGACAGCCAGACACAAGGAGTCCACTGTGAGTGCTCAGAGATGTGGGCTGAGCCTGGCCACATGTGTCCCATCCTGGTCTGACTCAGTGTAGGGCCGCTGCTCACACAAGCTCCTCGTAGGTCAGAGCCCACAGGACGGGCTTGTCTGTCTGTTTGGTAACATGTTTGCTACGGAGGCTCAGTGGGAAGATCTCTGGCCCAGAAGAGGAGAAGCAGGGCCGTGAAGCAGTGGGGAAGGGGCTGATCTGTTTTTTTTTTTTTTTTTTTTTTTTTTTAGTTGAGGGGCTGATTCATGGCAAATGGGTCTCTCTCTCTGTCTCTCTCTCTTTTCGAGACAGGGTTTCTCTGTGGCTTTGGAGGCTGTCCTGGAACTAGCTCTTGTAGACCAGGCTGGTCTTGAACTCACAGAGATCTGCCTGCCTCTGCCTCCCAAGTGCTGGGACTAAAGGCGAGCACCACCACTGCCCAGCAGTAATTGGGTCTCATAAATAGTTGGATAAATGGTCCAGGAGAGGAAGGAATTAAGGGTCTAGATGAAGATAGACTTGGGGCTCTCCCTTCCTATGGCATGATGGGGGTGGGGGTGGGGTGGAGCAGGAGCGGATGGATAGCAGACTGAGCTCAGGACAGAGAGGAAAGAGGTGGGGCTGTCCCACCTTGTGAATCGCCAACTCACTTTTTCCCGGCATTGGGCTGCTGTCTGTGGGGACAACGAAGAGACCGTGAGCCTTTGGAGTCGGGCATGACCCCCTTGGGAGCTTGAATGAACATCCCCCATCAAAACAGGCACCCCACCACACCTGACCTGGGCTCCCCGGGACTTACCGGAACTTTGTCTGCTGGAGTTTGTGGGCACCATTGACTTGTCTGTACACCTCATTCAGCTGTCAGGCAAGAGAAGATGGTTGAGAGTAGTCCAGAGGACGGCTCCAGGTTGGCTGTCATAGGCTACCACCCAGGATGACCCCATGGAAGGCACATGTCCCGTAAGCCCCTCTCCCTCCTGCCTAGGAAAGTCTAGGTTCTGAAGCTGCAGTCCTTGGCTCTCCCACAGGCCACCACTGAACCCACACATGGGTGCCACTCAGCCGTTTCTGGTCCTCACATTTTCCTCCACTTCCTGGCGCAGCTGGTCACATTCTCGAGTGCCGGGCTTCAGGAGGTTCTCAGTGCAGAGGCGGGCAAGGCGCAGAGACAGCCCATAGGGTACTGAGTGGGAGGTATGAGCACCATCAGCCCCCTGTACACAAGGCAGGGAGTGTGGAGTATGATCTCCACGAGCCAGGCTAAGACTGAGGACCACTGGCTGTTTTCAGTGTGCCAGGCCTGAGACTTCTGGTGCCATCAGGATGGGACAGAAAGGGACGGAGTCCTGGGCCTGCACCCAACATCCAAAGAAAACAGGAAGGGTATGATCCTGGGTCAGACACAGGCAGCCCCAGCCCTGGCCCTCACCAAGCTCTGTGGGGCTCGTGCTGGCGGCATGGGTGGCGAAGCCAGGCCGCTGAACATTATTAGTGATCTTCCAGCGGACCGTGTCTCGTCCCTTAAGGTTTCCACTGCGCAGCATGGGTGTGTCCAGGTGGTCGGAGGCCATCAGGTTCTCCCGGAGCAAATAGTGATCTTCCTTGAAGCCCACCATGTGGCCTGTGGGGAAAGGTCCTCAGCACCGGCCCCTCCCTAGGCCTCCATAGCCACACCCATCAGGTGGAATTCCGGGGCTCCCATTTTCTCCACTCCTGGCTCCACCCACACTTCTCCAGCCTGAAGAAAGGGCAGTCGGATACCCACTGCTCACAGGTGCACCCAGCTCATACCTCGGTTGCAGCAAGGGAGAAGCCCCAGGCAGGCCTAGAAGATAAGAGTTTGAGGTGGGGTTAGGATGGTTGTACCAGACTAGACAGACTTCTCCAGGTACCTCTGCTTCTAGCCCTTTTGCTAGAAGTGCGTGTGTGTGTGTGTGGTGTGTGTGTGTGTGTGTGTGTGTGTGGGCGCGTGCGTGCGCACGAGCGTGTGAGTGTGAGAGAGCGTGTGAGCGTGTGTGTGTGTGTGTGTGTGTGCGCACGCGTGCGTGCGCACGAGCGTGTGAGTATGTGTGAGCGTGAGAGAGCGTGTGAGCGTGTGTGTGTGTGTGTGTGTGTGCGCACGCGTGCGTGCGCACGAGCGTGTGAGTATGTGTGAGCGTGAGAGAGCGTGTGAGCGTGTGTGTGTGTGTGTGTGTGTGCGCACGCGTGCGTGCGCACGAGCGTGTGAGTATGTGTGAGCGTGAGAGAGCGTGTGAGCGTGTGTGTGTGTGTGTGTGTGTGCGCACGCGTGCGTGCGCACGAGCGTGTGAGTATGTGTGAGCGTGAGAGAGCGTGTGAGCGTGTGTGTGTGTGTGTGTGTGTGCGCACGCGTGCGTGCGCACGAGCGTGTGAGTATGTGTGAGCGTGAGAGAGCGTGTGAGCGTGTGTGTGTGTGTGTGTGTGTGTGTGTGTAGGATATCCTGCTCTACCACTTTCCACAACATTCCTATGACACGGGGTCTCTCACTGAACCCAGAGTGAGGCTGACGACGCTCAGGGTCTCTCACTGAACCCAGAGTGAGGCTGACGACACTCAGGGTCTCTCACTGAACCCAGAAGGAGGCTTACTTTGCAGCAGGCACAGTATTTCCAGCAGAGCAGCAGCAGCAGTGCCAGGAGCAACAGGAGGAAGATGAGCAGGGGGATGAGCCACCAGAAGGAGCCGGGAGGGCAGTCTGCAGGGTGACAGGAGAAGGGAGGCAGTGCCTATGCCTGCCCGGGCTGCCAAGTGCCACTGGCTATGCCCATCTGCCGGCTCACCTTTCTTCCTGTGGACCAGCACGGTGCTGTTGGGCCCAGGGCTGCCATCACCCTCCACGGTGTAGCTGTACGTGCAGTCGTCATCCTCATCCCGGAAGGAACAGTACTCCACCACCTCTTCCGCTGGACCCACAGATCGTTCTCATGTCACCCTGTCCCCAGCCCTCCACCCGGAGCACCCCAGGGCCTGGTGAAGTATTGCCTCCTCTGTGGCCTACTATGGGTTCTGGAGAAGAGTGTAAGTCCCCTGAGTAGAGAAGTCACCAGGATGAAGGGGGCTGCCCTGCCCGGGGCTGGCACTAGTAACAGCCTAGCCTACAGTTCGTGTCCTCCCTGAGCTGTACACCATCCATGAGTGTGATGTCCAGCTAGCAGAGCTCACTTGGGAGGCAAAAAAGTTCCACTACTTGACCCATCTGGGCCCTCAAACTCCACTTTGGGCATGCACCGTTCCTCTCCTGACTCCTCATTCCCAGTTCCCCAGACTCTGGGTTCCCTGCTCAGCTGTGTGCCCACCACCAGCGGTCTGTGCCTCTTGCTCCAACTCTGTACCTCGGTCCTGAAGCATCTCACAGCCCAGCTCACACCCCAGGCCGGACGGCATGACCCAGAGCTCAAGGCCCTCCCCAGCAGAGTAACCCCTTTTCCCTGCTGGGTTCTCCCTGCCCAGACTCCCAGCACTACGTCTCTCAGACCCCTTACCCTCCCTCCCTGCTCTCTTCTTCCCTCTTTCTCTCATTTGGAGACAGGGTCTCACTATGTTGCCCTGGCTGTCCTAGAACTCACTATGTGCGTAGAGATCTACCTGCCTCTGTCTCCCAAGTGCTGGATTAAAGATGTGTGACACCATGCTGGCGCCCACTCCCTTCCTTCCTTTTCTTTCTTCCTTTCTTCTTTCTTTCTTTCTTTCTTTCTTTCTTTCTTTCTTTCTTTCTTTCTTTCTTTCTTTTGAGACACAGTTTCTCTGTGTAGCCCTGGCTGTCCTGGAACTCGCTCTGTGGACCAGGCTGGACTTGAACTCACAGAGATCCCCCTGCCTCTGTTAGGATGAAGGGCGTGCGCCACCACCGCCTGGCCTCCCCTACCTTTCTTAAGTTCATCGACCATCTTGACTTTGAAGCTGCAGTCCTCACATGTTCGCCCTTTCTTCTCCCCAGTGCCCCAGGCCTGGCACTGCACACAAGAGCGCAGGTCCTCACACAGGCCCAGGCGTATCTGGATGTGGAGAGGAGGGGCAGACAGACACCATGCTGGGTGGACCCAACTTCTCTTGCCTAGTGCCCACCTTCAGCCGGCTTCTCCTTCCCACCCTCGCTGTCCCTGGGGTTCTCACACCCACACCACTGCAGCGACCGTTGCCTCACCGCAGAGTAGTTGATCTCACAGGTGGTGTCCGTGTAGAGTGACTGCTGGTTACAGTGGCATCGCCCACACTCGCAGAAGCCTCGTCCATTGCAGATTCCCTGGGCAGGAGGGGGCAGCGGTGAGCCAGCAGAACTCCGGCCTCTGCCTGCTTCCCTTTGCCGTCTCCTGGAGAGTCTGAGTGGCACCGACCAGGGTCCCCTCTCCTGCCCACACTACCTGCTGCTTGCTCAGGCCTTACCCCATTGCTGTCGATGCAGGTGGCATTGCTGAGGGGACAGTCACAGCTTCGGCCTGTCCAACCAGGCTCACACACACACTGCCCCATGGAACAGCGTCCTCGGTCTGTAAAGTAGGGAAGGAAGGGAGGGAGGGTAGAGTCACATTCCATATATACAATTCAAGATGGCCACCCACTAGGGTGGGCTTCTGGGAGCCTTGAGGTAGAAGCTGCTCCTCAATTTTCTGGAATCTTCTCCCCTCTGTCCTGCCTTCTAGTGAAGGAAGAGTGACCACCCTCAAAAACAAATCCATCCTGTGACTTGTGTTTTCAAGGGTCTCTAATGGGACACAGATATGAATAGGAAGACATCACACTGTTGGGGGTGGGGAGAAGGCTCAGAGGGCAAAGGTGCACACGTGTGGTGGTCTGCACTCCAGCACTAGAACCCACATGGTGGGCAGAGAAGGAGCAGAGAAAGAGCTCACATACCCGTCCTGTAGCATGCATGCTCTCAGCCCCAATCGGCCAATCAGTGTCTCACTAAAGCCACAAAACCCGTTACAAGGCATCCAGGAGAATCTACCAGTGCATGCTACACTCTCCCAGCATCTTCCTCCCCTGCTGGCTCACGCTCCCACTTCTATGACTGTCTGTCCACCTCCATACACACATGGCTTATGCTTTCATTTCTCCACCGCACTCTGGGAAGCACCGCTGAAGAGAAGAGACGCTGAAAAACCAGATGGAGGGAGGAGGGGTGGTACGATGGCTCCGTGGGCAAGGGTGATTGCTGGCAAGCCTGATGACTTGAGTTTAGTCTGGACCAATATGGTGGAAGGAGGGAACTGACTCCTACAAATTGTCCTCTGACCTCCATCCATATACACCCACACACACACACACACACACACACACACACACACACACAAAGGGTAATAAAAAATTTAAAAAAAAAGGATAGAAGGAAGTATAGAAAAGCAAAAGCATTCCCTCCAGTGACCAGTACACAGTGGGAGCTTAATCAACATTTAATGGTGTAGTGGGTATTTGCTCTGCCCATGACCTTGTTCTTTCTGGATCATGCACCAGAGAGTGTGAGACTGATCCCCTCCTAGTTTCTAAAAATATTATTTATTTTTTTTATGTACATCAGTGTTTTGCCTGCATGTATGTTTGTGTGAGGGGATTGGACCCCCTGGAATAGGAATTACAGACTGTTGTGAGTTTCCAAGTGGATGCTGGGAATTGAACCTGGGTCATTTTGAAGAGCAGCCAGTGCTCTTAACCACTGAGCCATCTCTCCAGGCCTTCCCCTCCAACTTTTAAAGGAGTTACATCAGCAAACAAGAAGCTCCACCTCTATCGGGCCAGGTCGCCCAAGGTCACGGCCAATACCCACTACTTAATGGTTGGATTTTCACTTATTCTTCTCTAACTATCAACTTCCATGTGCCTCCTTGTCTGAGTTGTGCCACCTCTAAGTACGGGCCTATAAGATCACCAGACTATGTGACTATGCACTATGGCTTTGGTACAAGCCGGCTCTAGGCCCTGTGGAGATATGGAGGAGACATAATTTTGTGGTGCCACTAGAAATTTTGCATCTTTGGAGAGAAGGAAAATTGTTCTCCCAAGTTCCTATCAACCTTTAGGGGTGGAACCATCTTGAGTTAGAGTGGAGGTCTGAGTTGCCACAGGAAGCCTCCAGGACCAAGTCTGTTGCTTTCAGGGACTTTGTCATGGGCATTGCAGACGCAGAGGGTGGTCCAGACTGAATTGGGGGGGTTCTGCCTCTACCAAGTGCCCTCCCTGCCCTCAGTGCTGGTCAAGGCTGCCCAGCTTACCATTGCACAGGAATCCAGACGTACGGGGACACTGGAAGTTGTCATACTCGCAGAAGTGACCCTCGTAGCGGCCTTCACCGTAGCACACACAACGTCCACACTGGCACTCGCCACGGCCCGAGCATGGTTTGTCGTCACCCTCACGAAGGCATGGCTGCGTGTCACTCAGGGAGCCCGTGGAGCAGTTGCAAGTCTTGCCACTCCTGAGGGAGAAACTGGTCAATTCTGCACAGCCTGTGAGGAAACCTAGGGCTTTTATCGTCCTGTTTCACAGACCACAAAACTGAGACTCCAAAAAAGTGGAGGCCTGTCCACGTCATACAGACAGCAGTGGCTCAGCTGAAACTCAAACCTCAGGGTCCTGCTAACTGATCACTAAATGTCCCCCTTCAGTGTTCATCTGTCTTAAGTCATGACAGACTTGTTCAGTGTCTGAGGGTGGTTTTGCTTGTCTTTGCTTTTGTTGTGAGATGGGGTCTTTCTAGGAGGCCCTGGCTGGCTTGGAACTCACTAAGAAGACTAGCCTTATTTTGTCCTGGTCCTCCCTCTGGGATCACAAGTAGGCACCATCTCACCTAGCAAAGGTAGATCTGATGTTTCCTTAAGGGGTCATTATCAAGCTCCAAACTTGTGTGCTTGAGGAATCTTCTTGCCTCAGCTCCCCAAGTAACCAAGTGGTCTGTACATGATCACAGCAGCCACCAAGTCTCAGAGCTTTAAACACTCTCACTAACACTCACCTACAAGATAGTTTCTTTTCTGTCTGAGACAAGGTCTCACTACATAGGTCTGGCTGGCCTAGAACTTGCTATTTAGACCAGGCTGGCCTCAAAGTCTCAGAGATCCACCCGAATCTGCCTCCTGAGTCCTGGGATGAAAGATGTGAGCCACCAGATCTGCCACTAAGTTTGTTTCTGTTGAGGTGGTCTGTCTGCATGTGGTGGAAAAGACAGGACATGAAGAGCAAGTCTCTGGTTCTCTCAACACACATTGCAGCCCCTGACAGCTACCTTGACCCAGTTTAGCAGAGAGACACCCAGAAATAGCCCATATGTCCGTGGTGTATGGACGTATCTCTGCTTATGAGGGGTTATGCCCAACAAATCCATTGTAAATTGAATCATATTTACAACACCTAACCAGGTTACAGTGTAGCCTAGCTCAGCCTAATGTCAGTCACTTTTGCGTCATTGTAACTAAAAAAGACCAGGAGGAGACCAGAGATAGGCCTGGTGGCATAGACTCATAGTCTTAGGACTTGGGAGTCTGAGACAGGATTGTGAGTTTGAGGCTGGCTGCACTACACAGTAAGACGGTATCACAACTACGACAATAAACCAATTCAAAAAACCCCACCAAACAAACGAAATAAAACAGACCATCCTAAACAGTTTGAACTAGATTCACCCAGCAACTGAATGTTGCTCCTCCAGTCCTTTCTAGGATCTGCCATCCCACTAGGGGTGAAGCGTATCCACAAGGACCGCCCTGTGACTGAGTACCTCAGAATAAGCTCCCCTTCCCCACTCACCAGCCCTCGTTGCACACACAGTGTCCACACATGAAGTCTCCTCTGTAGTGGCAGCGAGCTGACTGGACTTCCTTTTGCTGAAACAAGACCATGGTGTGTGCACATGTTGGGGAATATTACTTTAACTGTGTAAAGACATGTTACAATTGTTCATGCTGTGGACTCTTAGTTCAGTGTGTAAAGGTGTGTTACATTTGTTTATGTTGCATTTATTTGATTATGTAAAGCTGCATTGCTTTTGTTTCACCTTGCCTGCCCAAGACACCTGATTGGTCTAATAAAAAGCTGAATGGCCAATAGCTAGGCAGGAGAGGGATAGGCAGGGCTGGGAGGCAGACAGAGTAAGTAGGAGGAGAAATTTAGGCTTGAGAGAGAAGGAGGAGAGAATGAGGGAGAAAAAGTGGGAGACACCTGGAGCCAGCCAGGCAGCTGCCAGCCAGCCAGATAGAGTAGGATGTACAGAAGGAAAGAAAGGTAAAAAGCCCTGAGGCAAAACATAGATGAAGAGAAAGAAACAGGTGAAGCTGTAAGAGCTAGTAGGACAAGCATAAGATAAGGCTGAGCATTCTTAACAAATAGTAATTCTCCTTGACATGGCTTGAGAGCTGGTTGGTGGCCCAAAAGAAAAAGCCTGCTACATGCATAGAGGGAAGGGACAGAGCCACTGGGCACATTTGTGGGTTGGGGACAAGGTCTCACTATATAGCTGAGGCTGTTCCAGAACTTCCTTTTTGTTCTTTCCTTTTCTTTTTTTTTTTTTTTTTTTTTTTTTTTTTGAGACAGGGTTTCTTTGTATGGCCCTGGCTGTCTTGGAACTTGATTGCTCTGTAGACCAGGCTGGTAACTCAGAGATCCACCTGCCTCTGCCTCCTGAGTGCTGGGATTAAAGGTGTGTGCCACTAGCACCTGGCTAGAACTTTTTATATAGTTAAACTGGCCTCAAACTTGTGGTTTTCTTTTTCTAGCTTCCTAAATGCTTGGGTTACAGGTGTTTCTGTTATTCCTGGCTTTGCCACTGGATGTTTCTGCTGTTTTCTGTGACTCGGGACAGTTCTCTAGGATGTGTGCCCACAGAAGGTTCCATATCATTTACCCAAGATCTTAGTGCTTGGCTCAGCTCCTCCCTCACAGCAGGACTAAATCTTACCAGTTCACAGGCACACACATCACAGATGATGCTAGCATCCATCCGGAGGCCGTCCGAGAAGGAAGGTTTTAGGTGGATGTTGCCTCTTTGGTCTTCTTCTGCCAGCTGGCACACATGCGTCCCATCTATGTCCTCCACTGCCCGAAGCTGTACATTGTATATGCCCTGTGGGGACCCTGCTGTTAGCCAAGGAAGGCCTTGCCCTGATGATCAGGGGTACCGGTGCCTGAAGCCCTTGGCCTTCGGGCTTCTGGGATGGATCTGGGTTCAGATCCCTAGCTCCCCAATTGCCCGTGTTAGGACTGTGGATCCTCTCTTTGCAGTAGCTGTTAATGTTGGAACAAGGGCCTCTCTGGCTCTGGGGCATTACCCCTCTTGCTCGAGTTAGCAACCTGAAGTGCTGTACATTCTTATTCACCCCACCATGTGGACAGGGAAATGTGCCAAGCTCATCCAAGAGGTCGATGCCAGAAGATTTGAACCCCAGGCGCCATGTGTGTCCCTTGTTAGAAGACGCCACTTCTAGATGCTATGCCTAACTGCCCATTCCACTGTGCCCGCAGGAGCCCCACAGGGTCATACCACTTCCCCCCGCTTGATGTGAAAGGACCCAGCCTCTGTCTTCTGGAGGGTATCGGAGGTGACCTCTGTCCTCAGGCCCCGTGGGCTGTCCAGAGCCCGGATGTCCAGGTTGGAGCGAATTCGCTGAAGGAGAAGAAATGACCAGTGATCTGTGTGGAGCCTGGGCTCACCCCCCTCGGCATGGCCTGACTGCTCTTCATCCCGCTCATACGGAAGACAGATGGGAGTGTGCCTGTGATCACAATGGTAGACCCTGCCAGCCTAGGGCCAAGTAGACGCCTCAGGCCCCTAAGAATGGCCAGAGGCCCTGCCTCACCGGCCGTTCCCAGACTCGTGTTTTAACTTTCTCACCCACCCTCTTCGCCCCTTCCCTGTCCCAGAAGGGCGCCACCTCTGCAGCCCACACAGCTTCTCACATTGAAGGCTTCCTCTAGCAGCTCCACGATGTTGGATGAGTCCTCCTGCAGCACTCCCAACGAGGAGACAGGGAAATACTTATGAAGTTTCTGCAGGGGACCACACAGACCTGGGGTTAAGTTCCTTCACTTTGTATCTTTGTTAGTCCCCACTGCTCACACAGTAAAACTAGGCACTGAGCCTGCGACCGTGTTCCAGGGCCCATCCTCTCAGCCGCTTGGGAGATACATCAGGGGGGTGGGGGAGACACCTCCCCACCAGGGCCTACTCCTAGGGACCCAGAAGCTTTGGGAAGGGAGGGAGGTCTGAGAAGTTCTGTCCACCCACTGCACTGTGCCCACCTGCCCAGGGCCCAGGGCTCACACCTCATAGTAGCTGTAAGAATAGTTGGTGACGGCAAAGATGGGTATGATGTTGTGTTTGGCGAGCAGGCGCACCAGCGTGGGCACAGACGGGTAGTCCTGTGTCTTGTACTGGGTGTAGCTGCCCGTGGCGTCTAGGTGGCATTTCTCATCGTTGCGGTTCATGATGCCAGCCAGTACGTTGGCACCGTCAGCCTCATAGTGGAAGGCAGACTCAGTGGAGAACACCAGTAGGTGGGTGCTGTCAGCCCGCCAGCCGATGTCCCTCTGGAAGACAAGGAGGGCCGTGGCCAGTAAGCCAGCTGAGGACTTACATTCCCTCATCATAGAGGAAAAGGAGATCAGTTCCCAACAGGGGGCTGGACCGAAGCCACAGGATTGGCAGCATGTGTGCCATCATGGCAGCATGTGAATGATGACAGTGAGAACCGGAAAGTGATGACAAGGGATGGGAAAACACGTGCTGAGTGTGTGCACACCATGGGCACCAGAAAAGGTTCAAGCCGTCAGCCACACTGCACGAATAGTTTAGACACATGGGAAAATGTTCACAGCACCATGCTAAATGAGATGGGCCAGCTGGAAGGGTAGAGCAGCTGCAGTGGTTTGAATAGGCATGGCCTCCAGAGCCTCACATATCCAATGCTTGCTCAGCAGGGAGTGGCACTACTTGGGAGGGATTAGGGGGTGTGGCCTTGTTGGCCAGGCCCAGAGTCTCTCTCTTCCTGTTGCCTTTGGGTGTGGATGTAGAACTCTCAGCTCCGTCGTCTCCAAGACTGTGTAGACCCAGCTCTATGTCTGCCTGCCTTGCTTCCAGCCATTATGATAAGAGACTAAAGCTCTGAGACTGTACGTCAGCCCCAGTGAAATCCTTTCTTTTCTAAGAGCTGCTGCAGTCATGGTCTCTCTTCACAGCAATAGAACACTAAGACAGCAGATTATGGCAAATAATTTGAAAAGTGCATAGGGTGACTTTGTTTTTAGTCCAAGGCTTTGCCCTGTAGCCCAAACTGACCTCAAACTTGTAATCTTCCCACCTTAGCCTCGAGAGTGCTGGGATTATAGGCAGAGACCACCACATCTAGCACTATTGGGAGGTATGTTTGTTTTATTTTTGTTTGTTTGTTTGTTTGTTTGTTTTCTTTTTGGTTTTTTGAGACAGGGTTTCTCTGTGGCTTTGGAAGCTATCCTGGAACTAGCTCTTGTAGACCAGGCTGGTCTCAAACTCACAGAGATCCGCCTGCCTCTGCCTCCCCAGTGCTGGGATTAAAGGCGTGCGCCACCACCGACCAGCATTGTTTGTTTGGTTTTTTGATACAGTGTTTTTCTATGTAACAGCAGTAAACTCACTCTGTAGGCTGGCCTTGAACTTAGGGATCTGCCTGCCTCTGCCTCCTGAATGCTGTGCTGCTGTGCCTCACAACACCTGCCTGTTTTGTTTTTCAGGGTTTCATGTAGCCCATGCTGGCTTTGAACTCAGTGGGTAGCTGAGGGTGGCCCTGGACTCCAGATGATCCTGCCTCCGCTTCCCAAGGCTGGAATTGTGGACCTGTATCCCCTTGCCTGGTTTCATATAGCACAGTTTCGAAAACTGCGTCACACCAGAAAGTACTTAGGAGTGTAGTGAGTGAAGAAAAGAAAAAAGGCCAAGTTTCAAAATGTGGACAAAAGGAACAAAATCGAAAGCAGGCTATAAAGGGGATGGGTATTGGTGGTGGTGGAGGAGTTACAGGAGATTTTTGTTTTCTAATTTATCTGCAATTTAGATAGGTTATTTTCAAAATGAAAAAAAAAAAAAAGTAACGTAGGCATAAAAAGAAGTGGCCATTTTATCTGCTGGCACTGGGCCAGAGGGATGGCTCATCAGGTAACAGTGCTCGTCATCAACCCGAGTTACAGCCCTCAAGTGTGGGAAGGTTGAGAACTGACTCCCAACAGTTGTCTTCTGACCTCTGCATGCACACTCCATACTGCGGCATGCACGCCACACAGATAAAGAGTTAACCTGCCAAAACCAAAAAAAAAAAAAAAAAAAAAAAAAAAAAACAG